ATAAGGAACACCCTCCCGAAGTTTGGTCCATTCCTCCTGGGACACCCTGTATGTAGTAAAGGTACCATTAGCAACTCATTATATATTTGATGTGTATAAGGTCATACCATTTCCGATGAAGGTTAAAGATACAATAAAAAATTTACCCTCATACAGCATGAGAAAGACACTACGAAATAATTTTATGCAAGGTTACATCAGAATGACTTGGGAATGAGTAAAAAGATGAGGAACAGTAGATTGGTGTGCAAGCAAAGTCCGTCACACAACCAGCGATTGTGAGGCTCAGCTGTTACAACCGGTCAGAGTTATTCCAAAGAGTTGTGCACAAAGAATTTTAGAATTGAGGGAGACGCTCTGGACCCCACTAAGAGATAATTCATGGATTTTCGTGGCACCCTTAACAGATCACATAACCATTATCTGTCCAGATCAAAGACTTCCCGAAATTGAGGTAAACGGTAGCGGAACGCTGACGTTTCTAGAAGACTGTATACAGGATATGGTGATAAGGTAATGATTAGATCCATCACCAGGCACTCTGTGAACAGCACAAACAAGGATATTATTCCATCTTTACAATTCGAGGTTGACTGTTGTGAAACACCATTTAGTAGAATTGATTTGAATGAATTATAATTGGAGTCACCAATAAAGAACATACTCACACACAATGATGAACTGGAAATGGCCGGCTATAAGATTCAGGAAGTAGAAAGATTAATCACAGATCAGGAGTGGAAAATGAAACACCCTGTAACTACATCACGGTTGTCAATGTTAGCAACTCTTGGTTCTGTAGCATTAGGGTTACTCATAAGTGTGCTATGTTGTTGCTGCTGTTGCAAACGTTGCAGGAAATGTTGGCCGAGGTTCCTGAAATGGTTCATGGATGGTGATAATTGAAGAACTACTGTGTTTAAACCTAAGATCAAAGTGTTCATGCATCCTCTGATAGTTCACCGACGAGGTATGACTCTTAGCCTCGCTACTAATGTGAAGGACGCAACTGAATCAGGTGACACAACAGAGTTGACCCCAATGAATGTTGTTGTAACCCCCAAAACAAATAGGCCTAGCAGTAAGAAGTTAGACATGGGGAAAGGGTAAATAACCATAGACTCAAAGATTGGCTAATAAAAATTAATTAACCGTATTAGCCAATCTCCCTGAGGAAGGGAGGTGTCGTATCCGTGGGTTGCGAGCCACATATTAAAAATCCAACCCACTGTCAAAGGAATTAGTTTAAGGCTGTTTATGTGTTTACCTGAGGGGGAGCCAAGGGAAGCTGGAAGCTGTATATGTATGGCAACCCTAATAGGGAGTGACACAGACCAGAAGTGACGCATAAGCTAGATTAGTTTACAGGTGTTTCCGGTAGTCTCACAATGGAGCACAGAAATGTAATGCAAAGACAAAGGACACGTAAGGACACCACGTCATTTCAATGTAGAAGCCTATATATATATTCCAGCAACTAAGTGGAAAGGGGGGACTCACTATTTAGCACTTATCCTGAGAAGTTACGCTGCTACACAGATCGCTCGCCTTGGGTGTTCCGAAGTCTCGGCAGAAGATATTGTATCCATAATTCTTTTAAATAAATAGTCTTTATCAACCAATCACCGAGGATTGTTTTTTGAGCTAAGTCACTCTTAAACGACGCCTTACCCAGAGGCACCACAGCAACCTGAGCAGATCAGCATCCGCTTGGCTCATCTGCAGGCGAGTATTCCAGCTGCCTTGTCAAGAGCCCAAGACCTTCAGCTCCGGATACAACACATGGGTTCGATTAATAGCAAGGCACTTGAAAAATCCTACCTCTTAAGTGTGCGCATCGCCAAAACTGGGAAACCTCTTTCCAACGGGGTAAATTTACTTCTTCCAGCTACAAAATATGTGGTAAAAACTTAAGTTTGGCAACAAGTTTCATTCGTCTTTCTGATGACATTTTCGGTCGCAGAATTAACGATATGGCAGAAGGCACTGAATCTCAGTTAACAGAGAGTTAAGAAGAGCCCTTATAATGCGTTATGAATAGCCGAAACTACTGACGTTGCAAATGATGCGAAGTTAATGTGATACGCAAGATATGCGCATGATAATAACATTCATGATTATATTCTGTTTTGTAGAAATTTGTCAACCCGAACAACTCAAGAAGAAATATTTCACACTCTCAATGACTATATAAGGGACAAAGGGATCTAGTGGGGAAAATGTGTGGGCTTCTGTTCAGATAGAACTGTAATACTGTAAAATGTAAACCTTGGAGTACTTAGGCTTTTGTTCATACTGTATAATATCTTAATGCAGTGGTTCCCAAACTGCGCTGCGGTGCTCTAGGGCGCCCCGAAATATTAAAATATTTTCACTGAAATGACACTGAGCCCATGTGGTTTTAGAATCGGACCATCGATGTGTTGATGCGATGATAGGATGGACATCTAACGGACACTGTAGAAACCACTAAATGTTTTGCTTTTCAATAGCAATACCATATGGCGCTTGATGTCAGAATTTTAATAGAGTCTATTAAACTCTGGATTGTTCTCGTCACTGCAGTGCAGAAGGCAGGTGTTGCTCAGCCCGCTGCGCCAAAAGACGTGAGTGTCGCTCAGTGCATCAATGTGAATATAGTGACTGGATTGTTCTAGTTATTTATCGAACTTTCTCGGTACTTGGTGTTTGTATATTAATTGCTGTCTCCGCGCCCTTGATTTATTGAATATCGAACCAACCTAATGGTGTTGTGATCAAGTAAACTTTTAAAAGCTGTTGTTCTTATCTTCCTAAAAATGGACAAGTTTTTATTGAACATTAATAAGCATTGTAGGGGTGAAAATAAAGAGGATGCACCACAAACTAGTGGCGGGGGTGTGACGAAGCGTAAGTGTCGTAAATATGACGATAGTTATTTGGATTTTGGCTTTACAATGACAGATGTCAACAATGAAGAGAGACCGCAGTGTGTACTGTGTTTGAAAGTTTTGGCACCAGAGTGCATGCTTCCAAGTAAGCTAAAACGCCATTTAGAAACCAATCATCGAAACATGGAAGGTAAACCTCGCGACTTCTTTACCAGAAAGTTAAAAGAATTAAAACAACAAAAAGGTACTTTTTCTCAGCAGGTGTCAATACCAAGCAATGCTTTGCTAGCATCATACAAGGTTGCATATAGAGTCGCGAAGTGTAAAAAGCCCCATACCATCACAGAACAACTAATTCTACCGGCTGCTGTAGATTTGGTGAACATTATGATCGGTGAGTCTGCGGGGAAACTGCTTTCAAAGGTGCCTTTGTCTAACAATACTATCAGTCGCAGAATCCTGCACATGGCGGAGGATCTCAATGATTAACTGAAAAAATAAAAGGGAAGGAATTTGGGTTGCAGCTGGATGAGGCCACAGACAGTAATAAGGATGCACATTTGATTTGCTATGTACAGTTCGTAGATGGTAATGACATTGTGGAAGACCTTTTTTGTAAAAGTATCACTGCAAGTACAAAGTGAACCCTGTTACGGTTCTTTCTGTGTAGGGTCCTTGGATTTACTGTCTCTCTCTGGCAACTACCTATGCTACGACGCGGAGCTGATCCTTTTCCCATTAAGTTCTTTGCTACTGGAGGTCACGTGTTTCTCCTTCCCTCCTGTCCCGACACAAGCTGAAGCTTCCTACGTTTACAGACAAAATCGTCTGTCGCTCTTTCCTTTTTGGCCTCGACCGAGAAGGTCGGTTTTGGGCATCGGAATTCCAGTTTGGTTTGGATTACGCATGTTGCGTAGAAATTCTATTTCGGCACATTACGTACTACTGGAAGAGAGAGCGAGAGAGCCCTTTCGAGCTAGTATGAGCTGGCTGGCTCGGGAGTTTATTTATTTTTCCTGGTTTGTAATATAATTTATCAAGTAAGTACTTACTGAGTAAGTTGGGCGATGTGTATTGGGACTGCCCTGTATTAGTGAAGGTACCACGGAGTTACACGGGTTACGATTNCGTTACTTTAACTGCGTGCCCATTCTGATTCTTTCTTGACTTGTGTTTATTTGACATTTCTGCTGCCCTTCAGGCGAAGCTGTGGTATTTTCCTTTGTGATACTTGTACGATTTATATTTCTATACTTATGTTACAATATACTTTATGTTATTGAAAAACCAGCTGGACTGTTCTGCTTTCTGTGTACTCTGCTTGATTACTTGTACTGCCTAACGCCTATGCCAGCTAACCCTCTTGGTTCCTCCCTTGAGATCCCCTTCCACATTGGGGAGGCATTGGAACACCACGCGACAAACAGTCGATTGTGAGCTCCGGCCGTCTTCGAAGAAGTGGGACGGCTCGAAAGGCTCAAGACTTGTTCGAGATCCTGGGCACATTTATGGTTGAAAATAATTTGGAGTGGATAAAAGCACGTTGGTGTCTGTACTGATGGTGGTCGTTCGATGTCCGGCCGTTATGGAGGATTGCAGGCGCTTATTCGAAGCAAAGCTCCGGATTGACTGTGGACCCATTGCATCATTCACAGAGAAGCACTCGCGTCAAAATATGTGAGTCCTCCACTGAATGTGGTCTTGGAATGTGTGGTGAATGTGGTAAACTTTATAAAAACTCGGCCAGTGAAAGCAAGGTTTTTCAAAA